TTCAATAATTATCCATCATCCTAACATAATTGCAAAAATAAAATTTGTGATCTAAGTTTCATTCAGAAATCATTGTGCAGTATTAGCAGCAAATGGGATCATAACATTTGGAAAATGAGCAATGATCTAGTTGAAACTAACAAGGATCTTACATGGTAGATGTAGATTGATTTCTCCCCTGGCTGTTCAATTTCGACAGGGACTTTGTCTCAGAATACCGGGTAGGCCATTTATGGAAAATCAGGGAAATGGGACAGATTGTCAGCATTTTCAGAGACAGAGCAATAGGCCAAGTGGCCACATTTTGTGCTCGTAAGATTCAATTAAACAGGTTTATGATGAATCAGAGTTTAATTATTTATACAGTTTCTGTTTTTCTGTTTCATTTATAATCAGTTGTCTCTTTTTTCAATAAACAGGGAATAAATTCACCAATAATTACCACTGATATGTAAAATAACAATCACAATTTATAATGAGAGCCCTATTACATCAATAATCAGGATCCTGTTACACTAAAGTTATTTACTGATTGTAAAAGAAGAATAAACTGGATGTTATTGCATTAATCAAGGTCCAAATGCAATAATAATCTGTTATGCAATGATGGCATTTATTTCGAGAGAACTTGAATATAAAAACAAGGATGTACTACTGAGGCTTTATAAGGCTCTGGTCAGGCCACATTTGAAGTATTGTGTGCAGTTTTGGGCCCCACATCTTAGGAAGGATGTACGGCCCTTGAGGGGGTTCAGAGGAGGTTCATGAGAATGGTCCCAGGAATGGAAAGCTTAACCTATGAGGAACATTCGAGGACTCTGGGACTATATTCATTGGAGTTTAGAAGGATGAGAGGGGGATCCAATTGAAACTTAGAATACTAAATGGCCTGGACAGAGTGGATGTTGGGAAGATGCTTCCATTGGTAGGACAGACTAGGACCCGAGGGCACAGCCTTAGAGTAAAGGGAAGACCTTTCAGAATGGAGATAAGGAGAAACTTCTTCAGCCAGAGAGTGGTGAATCTATGGAATTCACCACCACAGAAGGCTGTGGAGGCCAGGTCATTGAGTACATTTAAGACTGAGATAAATAGGTTCTTGATTATCAAGGGGATCAAGGGTTACGGGGAGAAAGCAGGAGAATGGGGTTGAGGAACTTATCAGCCATGATTGAATGGTGGAGCAGACTCGGATGGGCCGAATGGCCTAATTTCTGCTCCTATGTCTTATGGTCTTATTAACACGCAACCTGCCTCCCTTCCCTCATTGATCAGTAAATCTCAGTTCCCCACCCCACCAAAAAAAATTGTTTTTGGGTGACACAGATTCGGAGGCATTAAAAGGGGGTTACACTGGGAAATTCTGAGAAGCAGTGATTCATTACAGTCCCTTTCTAGACTTTAAATGCACTGATCGCATTTCATCATTCACTGTCACAATGTTCTATCTCCCTGATAGATGTTATTATTCATGGTTGTCAGGCATCCCTGTGGGTAATTGATTTGGTGTTAGTGTCTGTTTCACTCCATACCTCACCCTTATAAATAGGTTGTAAAAAGTGCTGATCAAACCAAAGAGCTTTCAACTGAGTCAGTGGTTATGATCAAAAAGCTGCGTTGGGCAGTTCACATCATCCACACACCTGACACAGGGCTTCTAAAACATACTCCCTCCTTACTTAAGTATGGAATGCTAATTCATCCAATTATCTCCTTGCTTTTATCCCAAATTTCCTTCCTTGAAGATGCTTCTCGATTTCACTGTCACAGTCACCTATTCCAGGTATCAATCTAGTAAACCACCTCTGAACCACTCCAATAAATTTATACATTTCCTGAAAGAAGATGATGAAACTGTATAGAGTCTTTGAGATGTAGTCTCACTTATTCCCTGCACAAATGAAGTGGAACATCCTTGCATTGATGTTCAATTCTTGTCACAAAAATAATGGCAGCCCATTAGCTTTCTTGATTATATACTGCATGTGCAACTAACTCTTTGGCTTGAGCTTTAAATCCCACTGCATCTGAATTCTTCAGTCATTCTCCATTTAAGTAATACTTGGACCTTATTTGTTCTTCCTGCCAAAGTGAATGACTTTACATTTTCCACATTATACTGCATCTGCAAGATATTTTGTCTGTTCACCAAATCTATTTCACACAGTAAACTCCTTATGTCTTCATCATAACATAAATAGAAAACAATCTTTAGCTACTATGCCTTCAATCCCCTCCTTTAAATGATTTATGTAAATTCTGAAAGGTTAGGGATTGGGTAATAAATGCTGCCTAGCTAGTGACGCCCTCATCCTGTGAATGAATAAAAAAAGCGCAGTAAAAGGCTGGTGATATTTAGGTGCTAGTGAACGGAGTGACTCTGTTCAATCTTGCTGTGATATCCATTTGAAATTGACCATCTGGAAATACTTCCCATTGAATGTGCTGTAAAACAATGGAAGAAAGCAACCCTCCCCTCAGTCGAGAACACAAAGTTCTGACTCCAAACACGCTGCCTCATTCACTGATTGGTTGGAGGGGTAGCCCCACCCCCTCATTCTCACCAATAGGTCCAGAAACTCCCCACCTACATCTGGGACACCACCCACACCCTCCACCTCCTCCAAGACTTCCAATTCCCTGGCCCTCAACACCTCATCTTCACTATGGACATTCAATCCCTGTACTTGTATCCCCCACACAGATGCCAAAAAGCTCTCCGCTTCTTCCTCTCCCACAGGCCCAACCAGTCCCCCTCCACCGACACCCTCATCCACTTAACCGACTCATCCTTACCTTAAACAACTTCTCCTTTAACTCCTCCCACTTCCTATAGACTAAGGGGGTGGCCATGAGAACCTGCATGGACCCAAGCTATGCCTGCCTCTTCGTAGGATGTATGGAACAGTCCCTCTTCCACTGCTGCACTGGCACTATCCCTACCTCTTCCTCCGCTACGTCGATGGCTGTATCGGCACTGCCTTGTGCTCCCATGATGAGCTTGAACAGTTCATCAACTTTACTAACACCCTTCGCCTCAACCTCAGGTTCACCTGGACCATCTCTGATGCCTCTCTCTCCTTCCTGGACCTCTCTGTCTCCACCTTTGGTGACCACCTCAAAACCAACATCTATTTCAAGCCCACGGACTCCCACAGCTACCTAGATTACACTTCCTCCTACCCACCTTCCTGCAAGAAGGCAATCCCCTACTCCCAACTCCTCCACCTCTGCCATGTCTGCTCCCAAGATGGGGTGTTCCATTCCCGAACATCCCAGATGTCCTCTTATTTCAAGGACCGCAACTTATCCCCTTCAGTGGTTGAAAATGCTCTCAACCGCATTTCTTGCATTCTGCACCTCTGCCCTCACATTCCTTCCCCCCCAACAAAAACAAAGACAGAATCCCCCTTGTCTTCACATATCACCCCACTAACTTCCATATCCAATGTATCATTCTCTGCCACCTACAATCCAGCCCCACAACCAAAGATATATTTCCCTTCCCACCCCATCTGCCTTCCATAGGGACCGCTATCTCCACGACTCCCTCGTCCGCTCCACACTCCCCACAAGCCCTATCACACCCGGCACCTATCCCTGCAACCGCAGAAAGTGCTACACCTGCATCTGCACCTCCCCCCTTGCCTCTATTCAAGGCATCAAGCAAACCCTTCACATCAGACAGAGGCTCACCTGCAATAGACCACATCAACAAACGTGCATCGCTGCTCCCAATGTGGCCTCCTCTACATTGGTGAGACCAAGTAGCAGCTCGGAGACAGCTTTGTAGAGCACCTGCGCTCTGTTCATGACAAACAACATCTTCCAGTCACGAACTGTTTCAATTCCCACTCCCACTCCCACTCCCTGGGTGACATATCCATCCTGGGCTTCCTCGCTTTTGGAGCCTACAATCCAATGGCCTAAATGTTTATTTTACCAGTTTCAAAATCTCCCCAACCCTAGCCTCATCCCATGACCAACCCTCCCTCTCACCCCCATCTTCTCTCCCACTTATCCGCTCCTCCCACCACTGCCTACCTGCACTCACCTATGAGCATCCCACCTACCTCTTCCATTTATTTGAACTCCCTTCCTCCCCATTTCTGAAGAAGGGTCCCGACCCGAAACGTCAGCTTGCCTGCTATATTCCTCTAACTCCACACTGTGTTATCTCTGACTCCAGCATTTGTAGTTCATGGCTGTCCCCACGTTGAAGTCTCTGCCCGCCCACATTTCCCGATTGGTTGGAACACCCGCCCCCCCCCGCCCCCCCCCGCCCCGCCCCTCCCCGCCCCTTCTCCTCCCGGCAGCTCCGCGTCGAGCCTCTAGTCCCGCCCCCTCCTTTCCGTTGGTTGTCGGACGTCATCAACCAGGTGGGCAGCGTGCTGGAGCAGGCGCACTGTTAAACGGCATTGCGAGCATGCGTGCTGTAATGGGTGTTCGGAAAGATGTGTTTGTACATCATGTTCATGGGTGGTGAATAAAGTTAAAGACAAGACCAGCGTTCGGCGTGATATTCTGACAAGAAACTTTCATTATTGTTCAGTTTAGGTCTCAAGTTCCAAACATAGGTCTTCCCATCCCGATATTTAATCTGCAGAGAGTCTAAGGCTTCTTCCCAGAAACAGGGCCCGGTCAACAACAGTCATCTTGGTTCAACAGGAGGTGGGAGTGCGCAGGCGCGTTTTGCGCGGTGACGTGCTGATTAGTGGGCGTGATCGTATTTTATCCCACCCCCCGGTTCCCGATCTCCCTCTGAACCGTCCCCCACCCTTCTCCGCTCCGTCCCTAATTTGCCCCAATGTCTCCATCTGGGGCTCTGCATTTTTGTTCGATTACTCCCGGTGGGAGGGTTTACTTCACAATATGAAGGGGAGATGATGCTGGTTGTGATTAAAAAGCCCCAGAATCCAACTCTTGTAGCCTCTCCTCCTCCAGCGCCCCCGCCCCCGTCCCGCAAACATACAGCTGTCTCAGAAGCTGGGTGTCTGACTGAATTCTTCCTGCACATGGAGCAGGGAAATGGTCTGACACCGGTGTGACTGCACTGGGTGGCAGCTCAGGTGGGGAACTGTATCACTGTCATTGTCCTGATATTTCCACAGTATCTCCATAGGGTAGGTATCTTTTGTCTCTCCTGAACGGATGATTAGATAAATTCTAATCCAATGGACAAAACATCCATATAGTTTCCCTCAATAGTATGCAATGCAACTTTATTTCATTGTACCTGAAAGCACTTTCCACATTTAGTTCACTGGAACACTCTCAGGCTGTGCAACTGTTACCATATGTACAATATGTAATAGGAACAAGCGGATATCATTCAGCTCCTCGAGCCTGTTCTGCCATTCAGTAGAATTGTGGCTGATCTAACGTTCCTTGTATCCATTTTCCAGTGTTTTCCCCCCTCATAAACCTTGAAAAATGTATCCCAGCTTTAAATATACACAAGGACTCTGCTCCCTCGACTCTCTCTGCCAAGAAGTTCCAAAGACTTTCAACCCTCTGAGAAGAAAATCCTCCTCATCTCGGCTTGAAATTGATGCTCTTTATTCTGGGGCTATGCCTTTTGGTCTGAGACTATGCTTTTTTGGTCCTCTCGAATGAGAGGCAACATCCTCTCAGCATTTACCCTGTCAAGCCCCTTCAGAATCTGATTTGCTTCAATGAGATCACCTCTCATCGTTCCAAACTCCAAAGAGTACTGTCCCACTCACTAACTCTGTGGCACTGGTTAAAGCTCTTTCCACTGTGCACTGATTTAGAACACTCGTTGATTTTTTAAAAAAATTATTTTTGAATCTGAGAGCCAGATGGTGACCTCTGGACTGTGAGCAGCAACTTGTGTTTAAAAGAATAAACCAGCTTTTGTTTTTGTTTTGAGACCAGGCCTGGAAGTTAACTGCAGGTTGGATGTTGATCAAAAACTCTGTAGACTCTTTTGGTCATGAATGAAGTCAGTATTTGCGAACTGGTGCAAGCAAGTCTGGGGGAGAACATGATAAAACAGATGGAAAGGCTGCAGTTATTTTTTGAACTGGAGCTTTTTGAGAAAAGGAGTTTGGCTGTGATGCTACAGCATGAAGATTTGACCTGTGTAACTGTGAGACCATGCATTATGGAAACTGCTTAAGTAATATGGTCAGTTTTGTTTTTGGTTTACAATTTCTCCCTTGACTGTTTGTTTGTTTATCACTCGTTGGTGTGACTTGGGCTGAAAATAAAGGGTATTGCTGTGTTCACTGAGGAGTAGTGCAGTACGTTGTTAGGAGATGCTTGGCAATGTGCTAGTGACTGAGATTGATGGAAAAGTGTTTGGTGCACATCTTTGTCACTGAACTGGCTGTCAATGTGAAAGAGGCTGAGGGAACTGAGCACAGAGTGGAGGGAGGGAACCAAGCAGGGTTGGAAATTTGGTCATTCTTTGCCCACCAACCCTTCCCCACCCGTACTCCCTTACCTCCCCACTCCAGCACCCATCCCACCTATCCGTTCCTCTCCCTTTCTCCAGGACCATCAAACTTCCAAAGATATTTTCTTATTTCGTACTTACTATGTTGCTTTTCTCAGAACGTTCTACAACTGGAGAACTGGATAGAAAACGAAAGACAGAGCAGCCAATCCAGAAGCTTCCAAAATCACTCTGCACCTCATTGACCTTCCTGAACTGCTAAAATCCATGTGGTGAAACTGCTCCGAATTGCTGTTCGGTAAGGAATTACAGGATTTTCTTACAGTGGTGATGAGATAATGCTGACATCTGTGTCAGTTAGAATCATTTTGTTGTGTACCCCATCTTTATAGAAATATAGAAAACAGGAACAGGAGTAGGCCATTGTCATGTTCAATCATGGCTGATCATCCTACTCAGTAGCATGTTCCCATTTTAGACCCGTACCCTTTGATCCCTTTAGCCCTATATCTATCTTCTTCTTGGAAACATTCAATGTTTTGGCCTTAACTGCTTTCTGTGGCAGCGAATTCCACAGGCTCACCAGTCTCTGAGTAAAGAAATATTTCCTCAACTCAGTCCTAAAGAGCCTACCCCATATTCATAAACTGACTCCCTGGTCATTGAGAGCATCTTTCCTGCATTTAACTTGTTAGCCCTGTTAGAATTTTATTGGCTTCTGTCAGATCCTCCCTCATTCTTCTAAATTCCAGTGAATTTTGTCCTAACCAATCTATTCTGCCCTTGTATATCAGTCCTGCAATCCCGGGAATCAGTCTGGTAAACCTTTGTTGTGCAGCCTCCATTGGCAGAACATCCTTCGTCAGATAAGTATTCCAAACTTGCACACAATACTCTGGTGTGGTCTCACCAAGACGCTGTATAATTTCAGCAAGGCAGCCCTGTTCCTGTACTCGAACCTTTTCGCTTTGAAGGCCGATATACCATTTGCCTTCTTCACCTCCTGCTGCACCTGCATGCTCACTTTCAATGACCTGTGTACATGGACACTAGATCTCATTCTCATTTCCTTTTCCTAAATCAATGGTGACTGACTCTGTCCGATCCTGTCACTGTTTTCCAGCGTTAGGCTAACTGGTCTGTAATTCGATGTTTTCTCTCTACCTGCATTATTAAATAGTGGGGTTACGCTAGTTACCTTCCAATCCAGAGGAACTGTTCCAGAGTCTATAGAATCTTGAAAGATGACCATTAATTTCCTCTAATCAAAACGCTAGTTTCTAAATGCATCCACTCTATCTTGGGCCACTTTGTTAAGTACTCTGAGGTGCAGATTACTGGGTGCTGGAGAGTTGTTGGTGTTTAATCCTGTCAGTTTTCCCAACACCATTTCCCCACTAACATGATTTCCTTCAGTTCCTCCCCAGCATTTTAGGGATATTAGTTGGGTCATTCTTTGACAGAACCAACATATGTAGTTAATTGGGTTGTCCACCTCTTTGTTCCACATTGTAACTTCCCCTGTTTCTGATTGTATGGGATTTTTTTTCATTAATCTATTTTTCTCTTCATTGTATCTTTAGGAGCTTTTACAATTAGTCTGTATGTTCCCTGCAAGCTTAATCTTCGACTTTATCTTTCCCCTCTTAATCACTCCCTCAGTCCTCTTCTGCTGAAATCTGAACTGCTCCCAGTCTTCAGGTCTGCTGCTCTTTTGAGCCAATTTGTATGCCTTTTCCATGGATCTAGTACTATCCTTAATACCCCTTATTAGCCATGGCATGGTCACCTTTCCCACTTTATTTTGTGCCAGACAGGAATGAACAACGGTTGCCGTTCTGCCAAATGCTCTTTAAATGTTTATGTTTTTGAGTTATGTTCCCCAATTTATTGTAGCCTGCCTGTGTCTCATACCATCACAATTTCCTCTATTTAGATTTTGGCCCCTAGTCCCTGAATCAACTGTCACTTTCCATCTTAATGAAGAGTTCTATCACTGAGTTCTTCACTCACCCACAAGGGACCTCATACAGATAGATTACTAATTATTCCCTTCTCATTACGCAATTAAAATCTTTAATTTAAAGTTGCCATAGTACCAGAAGACTATAGGACTGCTCTCTCTCTTGGGAGAAAGAGAGACAGAGAGAGAGAAAGAGAGATGACGAGGTGCTTAATTCTGAGGGTCGCCATACCTCAGGCCAGGAACAAGGTTAAGATGGTGGAATCTTCGTGGAGACCTCAACCAGTAGAGGAATTGAGCATGTGCTGTTGGCATCACTCTGCATCACAAACCAGCTGGCTAGCCGACTGAGCTAACCCACCCCCGGCCATTACACAGTACACAGTCGAGGATGGTTTATCCTCCTTTTGAGTTATAGAGTCCTACAGCACAGAGACAAATGGGTCCAGACCAATGAAAATGTCCATCCAAGCTAACCCCATTTCCCTACACTTGGTCCATATCCTTATAAACCCTTCCTATCCATGTATTCGTCCAAATGCCTTTTAAATGTTTAATAACAGATCACAAGATATAGGAGCTTGATGAAAGTATTCGGCCCATCGAATCTGCTCCACCATTTGAGCATGACTGATATGTTTCTCAACCCCATTCTCCTGCCTTCTCCCATAGCCATTGATCCCCTTACCAATCAAGACCCCATCTATCTCTGTCATAAATACACTCAATGACTTAGCCTCTACAGCCCTCTACGACAATGAGTTCTACAGAAACACCTCCCTCTGGCTGAAGAAATTCTTCCTTATCTCAGTTGTAAAGGGTCATTCCTTCATTGTGAGGCTGTGCCCTCAGGTTCTAGACTCTCCTACTAGTTGAAACATATTCTCTGTGTCCATCTATCCAGGCCTCTCAGTATTGTCTCAGTTTCAATCATAGAGTCAAACAGCACAGGAACGGACCCCCTCGGTCCAACCAATCCACGCTGACCATGTTCCAAAACCAAAGTAATCCCATCTGCCTGCACTTGGCCTGTATCTCTGCAAACACCTTATTCATGTACTTATCCAACTGTCTTTTAAACATTGTAACAGTAACTGTAGCCGCATCCACCACTTCCTCTGGAAGTTCATTCCACACACGAAACACTCTGTGCAAAAAAAAAGTTGCTGCTCATGTCATTTTTAAATCTTTCTCCTCTCACCTTAAAAATATGCCCCTTGGTCTTGAAATACCCCATCCTAGGGAAAAGAAACCTTCCGTTCACCTTACCTATACCCCTCAGGATTATATAAACCTCTATAAGGTCACCCTCAACCTTCTACGTTCCTGTGAAAGAAATCCCAGTTTATCCAGCCTCTCTTTATAACTCAATCCCTCCATTCCCAGCAACATCCTAGTAAATCTTTTCTCAACTCTCTCCAGCTTAATAATATCCTTCCTCTCACAGGGTGACCAGAACTGACCATAGTACTCCAGAAGAGGCCTCACCAACGTCCTGTACAACATCAACATGACATCCCAACTCCTGTATACAAAAGGCATGAGCAATGCGGGTAAGCATACTAAACACCTTCTTAACCACCCTGTCTACGTGTGATGTAAACTTCAAAGAATTAGGTAAATGAAGTGTCTCTGTTCTACATTACTATCGAAGGCCCTACTTTTAATTGTACAAGTCCTGTTGCTCCCGTTTGTTTCACCAAAATACAATACCTGTATTTATCCAAATTAAACTGCATCTGTCACTCCTCAGCCCACACACCCAGTTCATCAAGATCTCTTTGTAATCTTAGATAACGTTCACTGTCCATTGTACCACTAATTTTGATGTCATCCACAAATTTACTAACAATACTTTCTATCTTCTCATCTAAATCATTCATATAAATGACAAACAAAAGTGGACCCAATACCAATCCCTGTAGAATACCGCTGGTCACAGACCTCCAGTTGGAAAAACAACCCTTCGGACTGAAGGTCTGTGACCAGCGGTTCCTTGTTGTTTAGAGAATTTTATGTGAAATTGGCATACTCACCTTGAATTCCATTTACTAATTAGTTTAATAAGCAAGCCTTGTCAAAGACTTTATTAAAGTGCAAGTAAATCATGTCTACTGTTCTGGCCTTATCAATCCTCTTGGTTACTTTATCAAAAAATTCAATCAAATTTGTGAGACATGATTTCTCCTGCACAAAATCATGCTGACTATCCCTAATCATTCCTTGGCTCTCCAAACACTATCTTTTAGAATCACCTCTAACAATGTACCCACCACCAAAGTCAGACTCACAGGTCTATAGTTCCCAGCTTCTCTCCCTTCTTAAAGAAAAGTCTAACGATAGCCACTCTCCAGTCATCCGACGCCTCACCCATGTTATAGATGATACAAATATTTCTCAAAGGAGCCCGACAATTTCCTCTCTAACTTCTCACATCGTCCTGGGATACATTAGATCAGGCACTGGAGATTTATCCATCTTCATATTTTCTAAGGCCTCCAGCACTCCCTATCCTGTAAGGGGAGCTGTTTAAAAAAATCGATATTTATCTCTCAAGTTTTCTAGCCTCCTTCAGTCCAACTCGTCCGTACCAATCAAGTTTCCCAAACTGAAGTAATCCTACTTGCTTGCACTTGGTCTCTATCCCTCTAAACCTTTCCTATTCATGTAGTTGTCCAAATGTCTTTTAAATGTTGCAACTGTGTCTGCATCTGCCACTATCTCTGGCAGTTCATTCCACATACAAACCACCCTCTGTTTGAAAAGGTTGCCCCTTGGTTCCATTTTAAATTTTTCTCTTCTGAACTTAAAATTATACCCTCCAGTTTTGGACTCTCCTATCCAAGGGAAAAGCCCTTTCCTGTCACCTTATGATTTTATAAATCTCTATAAAGTCATCCCTCAAATTCCAGTGAAAAAAGTCCCAGCCTATCCGGTCTCTCCTCATAACTCAAACCCTCCAGTCCTGGTGACATATAGACTGTAAGTGTAGCATGAAGCCACACAGAGTAGAAAGTCAATCCAGCCGCTAGAAATATCTATTTCTTTGGCTCTTAGTCGAATAGTTTGATAGCAGGAATTCTCCAGCTTCACACATGGAGAGTGAACATTTGGGCTAGCTTTCTCCACAGTTAAAACTGACGTGAAATATTCATTTACTATCTCTCCCATTTCAAAGATGACCTCCTTGATATTTGAGGTTCATGACACCACAGATAGCTCTGCTGCACAGAGTGGGGAAGAAAAAGTGTGGCAGGGCTATAACAACAGGAATTCAACGGTCAGGGGTACAGGCAGGCTCTTTTGTGGCCGCAGACAAGAATCTAGGATGGTATGTTAGCTCCCTTGTGCCAGGATCTGCAATATCATGGAGCGGCTGCGGGACATTCTGAAGTTGAAGGGTAAACAGCAAGTGGTCATGGAACACGTAGAGACCATAGCTAAACAAAGGGATCAGTGCCTGAAAGCCGAATATAGGAAGATGGGAGATACACTAAAATACAGGACAGCAAATGTAATAATGCCGGACTTATTCTCAGTGCCATGTGCTGGTGAGAGAAGGAATAAGAGGATAGATCAGATGAATGAGGCTGGAGAAATGGTGTACTGGAGAAGGGTTTAGATCCGTCAGGCATTGGGACTGTTTCGGTGTTAGGTGGGACCTGTACAAATCTGACCAATTGCCCCTGGGCACAGCTGGGACAAATCTCCTTGTGGGAGTTTGCCAGTTGCATTGGTGAGTTTTAAACTGGTACGGCAGGGAAATGGGAACCAAAGTGTAGGCATAAATGGGTCAGATTCAGATGAGCAACTGGGAGGTAGAATATTAGTTAGTGATGCAGTCAGCAGTTCAGAAGGACAAAAGGAAGGACGATTAAATGAGGATCCAGTCTCTCTTCATACATCAATCCAGAGATCCCAGGAATCAGTCTGGTGAACCTTCTTTGCACTCTTTCAATAGCCTGGGCATCCTTCCGTGGGAAAGGAGAACAAAGGTACACATCGCACTCCAGGTGTGGTCTTACCATAGCCCTTGCAGAAAGCTATCCCTGTTCCTGTACTTGAATCCTCTCACTATGAAGGCCAATGTATCATTTGCTTTCTTCACTGTTTGCTGCACCTGCCTGCTTCCCAAAAAAGAGAATCAGAGAGAAACACAAAACAAAATGGTGTCAGAGACTCTGATGTAAAATTATAGAATACAATGTCCACATCCTATCTATGCTGTTCATAAAGCACCTACTTAATCTAGTCCCATTTTCCAGCACTTGGCGTGTAATCTATACTGTAGTGCCTTGTATGATCAACAAAACGTTCCTTCAAGATTGCAATGGTTCTGGCATCTGTCACCATTTCTGATACTGCTCGACCTGCTGAGTATCTCCAGTGCTTTTTGTTTTTACTTCAGATTTCCACCATTTTACTTAGGCCCTTACAGTCATAGGGTCGTACAACACGTAAGTAGTCCCTTCAGTCGACCTCGTCCATATCGACCAGATATCCCAAACTGACAAAATCCCATTTGAAAGCATTTGGCCTGTAACCCTCTGAACACTTCTTATTCATGTACCCATCCAGATGCCTTTTAAAGGTTATAATTGTATCTGTGTCCACCACCTCTGGCAGCTTGTGCCATACACGCACCAACCTCTGAGTGAAAAGATTGCCTCTCAGGTTCCTTTTAAATCTTTCCCCTCTCACATTAAACCAATGCCCTCTAGTTTTGAACTCCCCCAGCCCGTCCAACCCTGGGGAAAAAAAGGCCATGGCTGTTCACCCTATCCATGCTTCTCTAGAAGGTAACCCTTCAGCCTCCGACGCTCCAGGGAAAAAAGCCCAGGCCCTATTCAGCCACTCCTTTTAGCTCAAACTCTTCAATCCTAGCATTAACCTTGTAGATCTTTTCTGAAATTTTTCAAGTTTAACAACATAAAGTCATAGAGATGTACAGCGTGGAAACAGACCTTTCAGTCCAACTCGTCCATACTGACCAGTTCATTCTATACAGCAACCACCCTCTGCGTAAAGAAAGTTGCCTCATAGGTCCCAAATAAGTCTTTTCCTTCTCATGTTAAACCAATGCTATCTAGTTTTGGACTCCCCTACCCTGGGAAAAAGACCATGACTATCCACCCAATCCATGCTCTTCACGATTTTATAAACCTCAATAAGTTCACCCCTCAGCCTTCAATGCTCCAGGGAAAATAGCCCCAACGTATTCAGCTTCTACCTATAGTTCAAACGCTCCAACCCTAGCAACATCCTTGTAAATCTTTTCTGAACTCTTTCAAGTTTCACAACATCTTTCCGATAGCAGGGAGGCCAGAATTGAAAGTATTATTCCAAAAGTGGCCTAACCAATGCCCTGTCCAGCCGCAAAATGACCTCCCAACTCCTATACTCAATGAACTGACCAATAACAGCTAGCGTACCAAACACCACCTTCTCTATCCAATATCCCTGTAACTCCACGTTCAAGGAACCATGAACCTGCACTCCAAGGTCTGTTTGTTCAGTAACACTTCCTAGAACCTTTATCGTTAAGGGTATAAGTCCCCCTCTCGTAACATCTTTCCGAAATCAGGAGGAGTAGAATTGAATGCAGTATTCTAAAATTGACCTCACCAATGTCCTATACCCTTCAACATGACCTCCCAACTCCTAAATTCAATCATAGCATCCCCACATTCAGCCCATGAGTCTGCACCAACCATCTGAAGAGCATCTCACCCTATCCCTTTAACCCTGCGTTTCTCAAGGCTAACCCATCTAACCTGCACATCTTTGGACTGTGGGAGGAAACCGGAGTATCTGGAGGAAATCCACACAGACACAGGGGGAATGTGCAAATTCCACACAGAGAGTAGAATTGAACCCAGGTCTCTTTATCGATCAATGCACTGACCATTAAAGGCAAGAGTACCAAACACCGCCTTCAGCACCTGATCTACCTGCAACTCCACTTTCCAGGAAACTATTCTTAGCCCTTTGGCGGGATTGAGGGTATGGGGAGAAAACGAACAGGATTGAGTTGTAGATCTGTAAAATGCCTCTCCTTCATGCCTGTGTCTCCCAACTCTATTTCTTGCTGTGGTTTTGTGTCAACATTGACTAGTTCCCTTCCCTGAAACAAATTTATGAACCAGTTCAGTTTTAATGATGATTGAGCAGTTTCCCCAAATGTCATCTCCACAAGTGACCAGATTACTTTCTCTCAGTTTCACAATTTGTGTTCTTCTGGTTTCTCCTAATACGTTTGTTTTCTATTTGAAATGTTGATTTGCAATGAGAGATTTCAAATGATACCACATCTAGATCTGACAGTCACCCTGTTTGTAATAATTGAATCAGGATTTTGAACATTGAAGGAAAAAGCACTGTTCACACTGGGAGAAACACATACTGTCGTGTGGAAGAGTCTGTGAAGATTCATCTGAGATGTCCAAACGCCAGCGCAGTTACACTGGGAAAAGACTGTGCAATGTGGGGATTGTGGGAAGGGATTTCTTTACCCATCCCAGCTGGAAATGCACCAACACAGTCACACTGGGGAGAAGCCATTCACCTGCTCTCATTGTGGGATGGGATTCACTCTGTCATCCCACCTGCAGAAACACCGTCGAGTTCACACTGGGGAGAGACCATTCATCTGCTCCCTGTGTGAGAATGGATTCAGTTAGTCATCCAAACTGCTTCTACACCAGCAAGTTCACACTGGGGAGAAACCGTTCACTTGCTCCCATTGTGGCAAAGGGTTCAGTCAGTCATCCAGCCTGCGGATACGCCAACGCAGTCACACTGGGGACAGACCATTCACTTGCTTTGATTGTGGGAAGAGATTTACTTCGTCATCCAGTCTGCTGAAACACCAGCGAGCTCACATTTGGGAGAGACCATTCACGTGCTCTGAATGTGGAAGAGGATTCATTCGCTTATCCCACCTGCTGGGACACCAGCGCATTCACACTGGTGAGAAACCAGTCACCTGCTCTGATTGTGGGAAAGGATTTAACCAATCATCCAACCTGCCTGCAGAGACACCAGTGAGTTCACACTGGGGAGAAATATTCACTCAGTGAACTCACCTGCTGATACATCACTATGTTCATCCTGGAGAGAGACCATTCACTTGTTCCGTATGTGGGAAGGGATTCACTCTGTCACCCAAACTGTTAACACACCAGTGAAATGACACCGATGAATCCTGTTCACCTGCTCTGTTTGTATAAAATGATCTGCTGTTTGCCAACACAACAGCAAAATCACAGAACCGCAGGTGTAGGATTTTGCTTCTACTTAGACCAAGGAATGAACCTTGGTCATTGAGCCATTTGTATTGATATTATTAAACCCTGCTACATTCAAGGTCCTGATACTCTCGGTAAAATGTTGATACAAATGTATATCTGTATGATAAGTTTTGAAAATGATCACAATGCCATTGTACATCAACACACTTAAACTGGGTAAAGACTGTCTACCTGCATGTTGTTTGTAAAGTGATTTTGTGGTTCATCAGGACTGCTTAAACAGCAATGAGTTACCGAGAAACTGTCTGTTGGATTTTGATGCTGTTTCTGCCTATATCCAAACTACGTTTTCTGGACTTGTTTCTGATGATGTTTGTAAACACCACAGGTTCAGTGACTTATTTAGGATAAAAATAATACAAATGATCTTTTCATTAAAACTATGTTGCATCAATTCTGCCTCATTCTGAGTGCCTTAGAGATAAGATGATCATTTGTATCCTTCATATGAGCAGTTAGAAGAAGGCACATCCAGAGTGAGAGAGAGCCTGTAATGCTGGAAATTTAGTTACAAGTGCTGTGCGGCCACATGTAACCTAACTTGGCAAGGGGATGCGATCCAGAGTGAATGTCCAAAAGGGTAGGAAGCAAAGAGACGAATCAACAAGTGAGTCAGGAAGGTATCGACATTACAGGCCAGTTAAGGTACAAGGGAGTTTGACATGATTGAATGGCAATGATTTTAATGCTATGAGTTTGATGAACAAGGCAGATGAGTTCAGGATACAAATTAAAATCGGGCTGTATGAGGACATTGCTGTCATTGAGATATGGTTGAGAGAGAGGCAGGATTGGAGGCTTAATGCTCCAGGACACAGGGTCTTCATATGAGACAGCGAAGGAGGCAGAAGAGGAGGATGTCGCAATTATGTTCAGGTAATTTATTACTGCTTAAACTCCTTAAAGAAACCCACCTGGATAGAACTATCAGAGCAGGTAAGGAGGCAAATTTCAGGGAAATGTAAAAGTAATACGGTTGTGATAGCAGGGAATTTCAATTGCCTCAACATTAACTGTGGTTGTCATAGTGTGAAAGATTTGGAGGAACTTTTAAAATCGATCCAGTACAGCTTTTGAAGCCAGGATGTAGAAGTCCCAATGAGGAAGGGGGAGCTCCTGGAGCTAACTACAGATAACTAAGGCAGACATGTGCTTGAAGTATCAGTGGGGGGTATTTTGCAGACAGTTATCAGAACTCTTGAAAAGATTCAGCATTGTTATGGAAAAGGACAAGGATGGGCCTGCAATCAAAGCTCTAAATTGGTTGATTTTAATAAGATATGATTTGGCCAGAGTGCACAGGGAGCAGATACTTTCAGGTACATGTGCAAGTGGGAACGTAAATGGGGAGATGAAGAGAGCTCTAAGAGGAACATAAATTGATACTGTCAAGTAAAATAAAGCAAAATGCTCTGTTGTTTTACACGTACACGAATGGTTAAAGGATAAGTGGGAATGAGTAAGGCCCAGTAAGGACCACGGAGGTAATCTGTGTGCAGAACTAGAGAATGTAGGCCTGGACATATGAGCAGAAATTAGGCAATTCAGCCCACCGAGTCTGCTCTGCCATTCAATCATGGCTGATAAGTTCCTCAACCCCATTCTCCTGCTTTCTCTCCATAACCCTTGATACTCGAGAACCTATCTATCTCAGTCTTAAATGTACTCAATGACCTACCTCCACAGCCTTCTGTGGCAGTGAATTCCATAGATTCACCACTCTCTGGCTGAAGTAGTTTCTCCTTATCTCCGTTCTAAAAGGTCTTCCCTTTACTCTAAGGCTGTGTCCTGGGGTCCTAGACTCTCCGACCAATGGAAGCATCTTCCCAACATCCACTTTGTCCAGGCCATTCAGAATTCTGAAAGTTTCAATTAGGTTCCCCCCTCATCCTTCTAAACTCCAATGAATATAGTCCCAGAGTCCTCAAACGTTCCTCATAGATTAAGCTTTCCATTCCTGGGACCATTCTCATGAACCTCCTCTGAACCCAATCCAGGGCCAGTACATCCTTCCTGAGATATGGGGCCCAAAACTACATGCAATACTCCAAATGTGGCCTGGCCAGAGCCTTATAAAGCCCCAGTAGTACATCCCTGCTTTTATATTCAAGTCCTCTTAATCAAAATGCCAACATTGCATTTGCCTTCCTGATTACTGATGCAACCTGCAAGTTTAACTTGAGAGAATCCTAGACTAGAATTTCCAAGTCTCTTTGCACTTCAGACTTCTGAATTTTCTCCCCATTTAGAAAATAGTCCATGCTTTTATTCTTCTTAGCAAAGTGCATGACCTCACACTTTCCCACGTTGTACTCCATCTGCCACTTCTTTGCCCACTCTCCTAACCTGTCCAAGTCCTTCTGCAGCCTAGCCACCTCCTCAATACTACCTGTCCCTCCACCAATCTTCGTATCATCTGCAAACTTAGCCAGAATGCCCACAGTTCCTTCATCTAGATCATTAATGTACAAAGTGAAAAGTTGTGGTCCCAACACTGACCCTTGCAGAACACAACTTGTCACCGGCTGCCATCCTGAAAAAGACCCCTTTATCCCCACTCCCTGCTTTCTGCCAGTCAGTCAATCTTCTATCCATGCTAGCAGCTTGCCTGTAACACCATGGACCCTTATCTTACTCAGCAGCCTCCTGTGTGGCACGTTATCAAAGGCCTTCTTGAAGTCCAGGTAGATAACATTCATTGGCTCTCCTTGCTATACCCTGCTCATTACTTCCTCAAAGAATTCTAGCAGATTTGTCAGGCATGACCTCCCCTGGAATCCATGCTGACTTTGCTCTATTTTACTGTGCACTTCCAAATATTCAGCAATCTCATCCTTTACAATGGACTCCAAAATCTTACCCACGACTGAGGTTGGGCTAATCAGCTTGTAATTTTCCATCTTTTACCTTACTCCCTTTTTAAACAGGGGTGTCACGTTAGCCATTTTCCAGTCCTCTGGGACCCTCCATGACTCTTGCGATTCCTGAAAGATCACCATGAACGCTTCCACTGTCTCTTCAGCTATCTCCTTTAGAACTCTGGGGTGTAGTCCATCTGGTCCAGGTTATTTATCCACCTTCAGGCCAATCCGTTTTACTAGCACCTTTTCCTTGGTGATGGCCACCATATTCAGCTCTGCCCCCTGACTCTCTTGAGTTTTTGGGATATTACTCATGTCTTCCACTGTGAAGACTGACACGAAGTAATTATTCAGTTTCTCAGCCATTTCCTTGTTCCCCACTACCATCTCTCCACCATCATTTTCCAGTGGTCCAAAGTCCACTTTTGACTCTCTTTTGCCCTTTATATACCCAAAGAAACTCTTACAGTCTTCATTTATATGACTGGCTAGCTTACACTCATTTAATCTTCTCCCTCCTTTTTTTTGTTGCTCTCTGTTGGTCTTTGTAAGCTTCCCAGTCATCTGATTTCCCACTGCCCTTCACCACATTATATGCTTTCGCTTTTGCTTTTATGTTATCCCTGACTTCCTTAGTCAGCCATAGTTGCCTCATCCTCCCTGTACCATGCTTCTTTTTCCTAGGGATGAATTTTTGATGCGTCTCCTGAATTACTCCCAGAAACTCGAGCCATTGCTGTTCCATTGTCTTTCCTGATACGGTCCTCTTCCAGTCAATTCTGCCCAGCTCCGCCCTCTTACCTCTGTAATCACCTTTATTCAGCTGTAATACCATTACCTCTGATTCTATCTTCTCCCTCTCAAATTGCAGAGTAAATTCCATCATCTTATGATCACTGCCTCCTAAGGGTTCCTTTACCTTAAGCTCCCTTATCAAGTCTGCAATACTGAATACTTCGTGTCAGTGCTCACACGTGAGAGAAATTAATCGGGAGACAGTCTGTGACAGAATGTAAAGAAATTAGCGCAGAGTGAGAGAGGAATTACTGAGTAGTCTGGCAGGTTTAAACGCAGATCAATATCCAAGGTCAAGTGAAATCTATCCTACGATGTTGGGATGAAATATCAGGGTGCTTGCAAGATTTTCAATTCCCCTCTAACCACTGGAAAGGTGGTAGAGGACTGAAGGACGGTGTAAGTAGAACTTCCATTCAAGAAGGGAGCAAGGGATAAAACCATGAAACTGCAAGCCAGGCAGTCTCACCTTGGTGATGGGGAGACTATTGGAAGTAATTCTGAGGGACAGATTTAATTTGCATTTGGAGAGGCAGGGATTTATCATGAACAGTCAGCATGCATTTTTTTCTAAAAGGAGATCACGCCTGACTAACTTGATTCAATTTTTTGATGAGTGTCCCACTGTGTAAATGAGGACAATACTTTTATGTGGTCTCTTTGGACATCAGCAAGGCTTCTGATAAGGTCCCACATGGGAGACTAAAAGCAAAGTGTTCATGGAATCCATTGAAATTTGGCAAATTGGATCCACAATTGGCTGAGGCTCAGGAAGCAGAGGGTGATGGTTTTTCTAACTGTGGAAGTCTGTGTCCATTGGGGTCCCACAGTGGTCCCACAGTGGTCTGTGTTGGGCCCTTGTTGTTTTTGTTTTATGTAAATGACTTAGATTTGAATGTAAGAGGGTTGATCAGTTAGTTCGCATATGACACAAAAGTAATAGGTGGTAAATAGTAAGGAGGATAGCCTTAGTTTACAGGATGATATAGACAGACAGGCTGATCAATAGTAAGTGGAATTCGATCTGGATTAGTGAGTGGCAACATTTGGACAGGATAACTGGTCGTTGCATTGATTTGTTCATAGACCAGCCAGGGGAGGAAGGCTATTTCTTTTTCCCATCGCCCATACACCGTGACACAGTCCTGGATAGGTATTTTGGCTGTAAGATAATTTTGCCAAATGTTGCTCACTCCACAGTTAGACCTCAAACGAGAGGTTCTAATGGTGCTGCAAATTATGAGGAAAGAAAATGGGATTTTGGCTTTAATTGCTAATCAATTTGCTGTCCCTTAAATCTTGATCATCTCTGATAGAAATCCTATAATCGTGAACATGAGGAAAGAAGCCACCCTTTTAGCCTGGGAAATAAATGTATAAAGCTAAGAGATCAAATAATGACAGTAAATTTAAGAGACGTATTTGAACCAACATTTGCAGAGCAGGCACCCTCCCTGGATTCACTCCCTCTCCCTTCAGTTGCTGCAAGTGAACAGTTTCTCCACCCCACCACTCAGGATGAGAAAAGAAATGGAAAGGGGGAGACATTGCTTTACTCCCAGATGTTGCACAGAGGAGGAGGTTTCACTGGGAAGACAACATGTGCATTGTGAGGTCCCGGGGCTGAAGCAGCCAATAGGAATTGCTGTGCTCGGTGGTGACGTCATCGGGTTTC